TCGCCATGTGAGGTCAGGGCTTAGATAAACTCGTAGTAATTTAACGTTTATTTCTTTTTCTATTTGTTTTCCCGATACCAAAAGAGGCGGGAAATTTTCCGAAGTTGCTGAATTTGAGAATGGCATAAAACAGCACTTATCTATATTTAGATGTACATCATTTTTTTGCGCACCAATTTGTCATTATATCTAGGAGTTTCTGGATCTCAGATAAATCGGCAAAATTTTGCAATGGCACTAGTCTACAAGAAAAGCCCTAAATTAATTTCTTCTTATTTCTGTAGCTTTGAGCTAACAATGAACATTTAGGGCTTTTCTTGTAAATTCTCTAACTTTGCAAAGAAAGGTCATGTAGAGTTGGAAGATGTCTCATTTTAATTAGAAATTTGCGGGCTACAATCATGCCTCATTAAGAAAAGGTTTCGGATATCTTTCAGAGTTTCTGAAAAACTGATTTTCTAGAAAAACGGTCTCTGGGGGCCGAACGCCCAAACCGCTACGATATTCGGATTCAGAACACTCGATTACTTATTGTCCACTAGGTTTCGTGAAAAAAGCGATCGGACAGTTGGAATGATTTCCTCGTTAGACTATAGCGATCATTTGCTATACAAAATTTTGTTAATGACTTGCTGTTGTCCGTGTTTATTTTAGTTAAATTCTCTGTAAACTAGCTCCACAACGTGACTGAGTGATTTTGCGATTTTTTCAACAAAAGCGTTTCTGATTTCTGAAAAATGGATTTTATCTCAAAAGCCAAGGATTTTTTGAAAACTCTTATCTAAACTCAGAATAAAAGCCGCATGCACCATAGATACAGCGTATGTCGACGAATATTTCAGCAAATTTTCATTAATTTTGAGACTGGGAAAGTGTGGGAAACTCATTTCACTTTAACTACCTTCGAACACACTAGCGGAAACACTGACAGTTCAGACAATAATTTTTTTTATCTAAAACTGGAAAGATTAGATAAAACTGTTTTTACTAATAGATAACTAGAAGCGTTTGGATTCTGAATACATACTTCTTATGGTTTTGAACTGGCTTAAGGCGATTAAAAAATGTTTTTTCTCAGAGAGCGCTAAATTACAGCCTAGTTTTTACTTCACCATTTCTTTCCGAGAATTCGCAACTTATAACAAAAAATTTTACGTTATTAAATAGTCCGTAAATCAAAGTATATTTAGCACTATTTGAATTTTGAAAAAGCGCACTTTCGATTTTTTGCCTAATGTCCGCAGAATTGTTGTTGTTGTTTATTAGCTAGATTGCCGGTTCCGAAGCTGACCGGAAAAAAACTGTAAAGTAGACTTCTTAACAATACAGTTATCAAAACCCGACTATACTGACTCTTACAAGATACTTCTGTAAAGAATGGTAAGAATTAGCTTTGAACAATCGCACTAGAAAAAATCGGTCACACTGACTGTTACATCTTTTATTTTTTTTATGTTTTATTTTCTATCTCTCTGTCTCATAGATTAGTTTACTTTTTGTTTTTATTTTTTTATTGTTCTATTTATAGTTTCTTCCTGTTGTTGTATAGCGTGAGCCATTGTTATTATAGGCCCGGGACTTTTGACGACTCTCACTTTTCGTCAATAAATTAGTCTTAGTCTTTTTTCCCAAGATTTATCATTTGAAATGATTTAGCTAAAGAGAATAAAACCAAGGAATCAACCTAATCTAACCTCTTAGAGCTTGACAAAAGTGAGCTCGTTAAAGACAAGGTTTTTAAGTGATGTAAACAAAGCAAAAATTGCTGAACTAGTTCCTTTCTGACCTCTTTCGTCCTTTCGGGATCGTTCTGTCAATTTTCCGGACTTTTGTTTTCTACATTTTGTAAGCCCGAGGTTTTCAAGTCGATATATTTTAAATTACTTGTTGTGTCCGAAAAGTAGTTGTATTGTGGGAAAGCCTCTGTTGAACCTATGGATTTTCTCGCCCGTACAGAAAGTGCAAGTATAGAATTATTTATTATCTATCTTTTGTTTTGTTTCTGGAAAAGATTTTATTTGCTAAAAACGATAATCTTATTTTGTCTTTAGGGCATGAGCCATTTGATCTCCACGATCTAGGTCTTGCTTCTTCTGCTCTCACTCACTCTGTTGAGGCGCAGAATACATTAAATACCCGTAAACGTAACCTAGAAAACTAAAAGAAGGTATTCTAATATACGGAAATTGGATCTTATTAGTAACAAATGCAGACACTCTGTTTTTAGTTTTGTAGGATACCTTTTTTTTAGAGTGTGTTAGAGTGACAGACTACTAATGTGTCAGACATAGGTTCAATCCTTGCATCTGACGTTATTACTCTTTTTCTCTTCTATTGACCGTTTACTGACTGTTTTTAAATCATTTGCTGATAGTTAACTGCCTAAAAACGTCCTGAAAACCGCCTATTTTACGTAGAGCGTTTTACCGCCGTAAATTGGTAGTTCAAACTATCTGAAAACTGCCTATTTACAGCCAGTAAACCGTCTTTTAACGGTCAAGCTTCTCATGAAAATTCGATGTATGAGAAAGTTTTAGGCAGTTGAAAAACCATTTGTTTACGGTGGTAAAACCATACCATCTGAACCATCAAAAAAACACCTAAAAACTGTCTGAACGGTCTAAAAATGGCCAGTAAACTGCCGGTTAACTGGCAGTTTTGATTGTCCTGGGTAGAGACTTTAATAACCCGGAAGCACTACATCCGATTGACTTAAATTTTTTTTCAATCAAAGCTACATAGCTGCTCAAAATTGATATCCCATTTCAAAGCATTAAAACAAACACATGGCTAAGATATAAAAAATTTCTAATTTTACCTTAGTTACAAGCCATTTTTAGCGGTTTTAAAAATTTAAAGTCTTAAACTACATCTAGGTTTTCTTCTGTAAATATGCATTGTAAAGTACATACTTTGCTCTATCTGTGAATGAGAAAATTAAGCTTCTGACACTTTCCGTTCACACAACAGCCCTCGACATTTGTACCGATACAACGGCATCGTAGATTAAAAAATTTTTGAAGACAATTTGACAATGTTTCTATTTGTTGTGCAATTGAAATGAGTTCTGACGTTTTGTAAAACTAGTTTACCGAATGGAACGGATAAGCGAGAAAAATCCGATTGATGCCAACACTATTTCTTCCTCGATATAAAACATAAGGCAAAAAAACATCTGTTGAATTTACTAAAGCTTGTTGATGTTAGAGTAAAACTGCATCGTTCTATCGTTCTAGTCGCTCACCAGGAAACTTGTCCAAGTGATACCTTCCGATTCATTCATACCTCGATCGATAGAGGGTATCGAGCTAGTAAAAAGCCTAAAAGGATTTTTACCCATGACTTTTGAAGACTTTTGTTTTTTTTCTTCTATGACTTTGGAAGATGTCTCATTTTAATCAGACATTTGCGGACTACAATCATGCCTCATTAAGAGAAGGTGTTGGTTATTTTTTGGAGTTTTTGGAAACCGGGTCTTCAAAAGTCATGGGGAACAATCCTTTTAGGCTTTTTACTTGCTCGATACCCTCTATCGATCGAGGTATGAACGTTTCAGCGTCAGTGATTTCTCAATTTTATGGCTGTATCCCGGCACGTAAGCAGAATATTTTACTTTTGCCTTCGCCCACGTGCTGCTAGTGCGGCACTAGCAACACGTGGTCGAAGACTAAAGTAAAATATTCTGATAACGTGCCTGGCTTTAAGTAGAGCCCGGCAGGTTACGACTTTTTGACAACCTCTAACCTAACCTATAAAAATTTTCACAACCTAAACCTAACCCATTAATGTTTTTCGTAACCTAACCTAGGTTAACCTAATTTCCCAAAACCTGATTTTAGAAGCCTAAACTTCAGTTTTGTTCCATATCGTTACTGTTTCTTATCTAAACACCGTCTGATAGGTAAGCTTATACAAAATAAATTACATTTTACATGAATATAGAAATGAATCGGTTGAGTCTTTTATTCTTTAATACAATCCGTCCAAAATAGCTTGCTGAATATGGAGAAAGAAGCGAGAATACCCCGCCATTCGGCTACCTTGCGGTATAGGATGCTGTCCGGAGACAGTTTTGTAAGCCCGATATCTTCCCTACAACTAATATTAGCTGTAGCTCTGGACAGAAGGCTAGCCTGACTCAGAGTTCTTTCGCTCAATTGCTTGAGCTCTTCGTACACACTGACTAACCACATACTAGCCACGGGGGCTGGTGTATGTCACAACGTAGTCAGCATGCTATCGGACGGGTGATCCGAGGCAAACAACCAACCGTTAATGACTTGCCTAGGGTCATTCCATGTCTGATGGCGCCGCGGCTCGACCACAGTACGTTGCGGGTACGTGTCAAACAACCTAATCACACAGCCATAGCGGCTATCTGAATAGGGAGACCCTCTTAAGACTTCCACTTTAGGCTCTCGATGCTACGAAGGTTCTGTTATTGTTGTGTATTCGTCATCTATTTCTAGCAAACGTAAGCTTTTTCTCTGTTATGCTTTTTCTCTTTTTTTATTGTGCTATTTTTTAGTTGAAAAATAGTTCAGTTTAAACTAGAGAACCTCAGTCTGAACCTCATCCTCAATCGATAAAATTCAACTTGGACTACGCTTAATTACTCAAAGTATTGGCTGTTTTAATGTGGTGGTTCAAAATCGTTTTTTTTTTCGTTTAGGTTAAAGATAGGTTATCAATGGCGTAACCTACAACCTAACCTGTAAAAGATTTCATAACCTAAACCTATAGATTAGGTTTAACCTGCAGGGCTCTAGCTGTAAGTCTCCTATTTCACAGCCTGAAGTATAATTCTCTATTTGTGAAGAGTCTTTTTCAAAAATTACTTATCTTTTCGTTGCTGATAAAATTATAATACATAGCCCGTCCGTCTTTTCTTTCAGTAATATACAAAATTATTACCATTTTCTTGTTTGCTTGTTTGTAAGAGAAAACGTTTAGAAGATCATTGTACTCTGTTCTTTTAGATTCAATATTCTCAATTTAAAATGAATTCCCTCTTAGCATCAGTCAATTTAATTGATTTTGATAAGACTACACGTTTCTCTCTCACAGCATCAAATCAATACATTCTTATATCGAATTTTTTTAAATTAAAATTGTTTAATAATCAATTAGAATTATTAACAAATATTAATTGGAAATTAAAAAATGGTTTAATATTTGATGTTCGTTATTCAACATATACAAATAGCTTTCTGATTTTAACTGAAACTGGTTTATATTCGTTTAATCCATTAACATTTTTTATTAATAAAATTGTACAGATCCGAGAATTTTTCAACTGTGATCCGAACTAGACCCGAAACATGAGAATAACTTCAAAACTAAAAATTTTCTCTGAGTTTTAGCTAAGTGAAAGTATTCTAAAAACACCTTGAACCAAATTTCGCTCAAAGGAAGCATTTTCAAGGGAAAGTGTAGGTACGAAAGTTGTTCAGAATCAGATTCCCTGGAATACGAACGGGGGAGTTTTCAAAATTCGTTAAGTTGGACTTTTAAATTAAAGTTTACTAAATTTTAAAATTTTAAAAACCGTATTTTTCAATTTAGAAATCGAGTTTAATGAATTTTGAAAAATCCTTCGTTCGTATTCCAGTGTATCTGATTCTGAACAACCTTCGTACCTACACTTTTTCATGAAAATGCTTCCATCGAACTAAATTTGGTTCAAGGTATTTTGAAAAATACTTCTTGCTCTAAAATGCCATCGGGCAGGTCAAAGCGGAATAACTCAGTCAAACCTTGACCGAATTTTTTGTAGATACACCTTGATGTCTTCTACCGATTGACATTAAAACCGAGGTTATATGGAGAAATCTCAAAATTTTATTAAAATTTTAAAAATAGAGCAAAAACCCGAGATTAAACTTAAAAAATTATTTTTTCAAAAACTATAGGTTCGGTACCCGAAAAAGTTTTGAAATATATACTTCAAAGTGTCCTCTACAAACTGATAGGAAAAACCGAATGGGGGGCCCTCTCCTTAATCTACAAATCATAGACAAAACAAACATAAAAAAATCTAGTTAGATACAAGATATTTTTTTTATTGCATGCATAAAGAGCACTCGGTTAGCTCGGCAGTTGAAACGGTTCGTCCGATCCATTCCGAATTTTTCTAGCAGTCGGAACGAACCATCGAGTCCGTGCCGAGTCTTGTTAAGTAGACAATTCTATTCAATCACTTGGAAGAGGAAGATTATATCCAGCCTTCAGTATAACATTACAAAATATTCTAATACAATAATAAGAAGTAGTATTGTAGTACTGTACTTCAATTACTTTTTTGTTTTCTCCGTTTGCTCTTTTAACTTATCTATTCGACATTTTCTTGTGTGATTAAAAAGTAAATCAAACACTTTTCTTTTTGTATCGAATTTCTTTTCATCGTTAATAGAATAGAATGTAAATTCAAACGTGAAGTACATTAAAATCGAAGTACTCTGTGTAAACTCTTGGATTGATAGATTATAACACTATGTTGAGTATACTCACCATGATGTATACATATTTATACTGCATAAAAAGTTTTTGATTTTAACGATGTCAATAATATAACTCTGGACTGCTGACTACAATTGCACAACTCATTTAATACTTGTACTAAACACACAAATGAACAATACCAATATCAATGTTCGACAACCATTGTATTCATTCGTTACACATAATAGTGTAGTACAACAATTAATCCATAATGTATATTTTATCTCAACAGTATCTATACTATCAATTGTGATATCTATCATGTTTTATAATGTACAACAAAAAAGAATGGTATTACGTGTTGTTAAATTATATTATTATCCCATAAAATCATGTCGCGGCATACAAATTGCTACTGCAAGACTAAATCGTCTTGGAATTGAATATGACAGAAATTGGATGATTATAAATCCAAGTACTGGAAAACAACGTACAGCAAGAGAATTACGAAAAATGACTACTATTATACCATCTTTTAATACATTACAAGACGGTACATTACAACTAATTTTAAATGGGAAATATTCTACGACCAGCGTTAGTATACCTGTAATACCACCCGAAAATTCACCGAGCAAAGATGTGAATGTATGGGATAATATATTAAAAGCCAGTGTATATAGTTGTGATGTAAATACATGGTTGACCGAATATTTAGATACACCATGCGAATTAGTTACAATCGATAAAGGTAATGTATTCTCGTTCGAACGTCATCTAGCTACTGACTACACTGCTGCAAACATGAATAAACAAAATAATTATAGCACGTCTGCTTTTGCTGATGGCTATCCGTTGCTAATAACAACAGTCGCGTCATTACGAGATTTAAATAAAAAGATAAAAGCTGACATTGGTACAAACGCAAATGATGTGTTAATGGAAGCTTTTCGACCAAATATTGTAGTAGATGCACCGAGTTTACGTGGTTGGGATGAAGATAATTGGGAATATATTACTATTAATGGCATAGAAATTCATACACCTAAGCCATGTGGTCGTTGTACTATTCCATTAATCCATCCTTATGATGGAACACGCAATAAAGAAGGCCAACCTATTAGATCATTACGTAAATATCGTACTAATAAAAGTATGGATGCAGTAATATTTGGTCAAAATGGTATACATTTATCTGGTGGTGAAATTCATGTTGGTGATATAGTGACCATAAAACGTAGACTGAAACCACTTATTTATCACACTAAAGTTGATTCTGATCTCTGAGACATGAATGTGATTCGGTCTCTCTGAGACAACGACATCTTATAGAGAAGTTCAATTTTGTTTTTTCCTTGAGAGAAAGAATTCATAGGCCAAGTATGGAAGAACTTGATAAGATTCTAACGTTTTTTGCATTGTTTAAGTATTGAATGCTTAGCATTTGCGAAGAGTCTGTATGTAAATAAATTATTTCAACTAATTTTCGATAAAAGTAAATGTTGATGATATTTTTAAAATTTGAAATAGCTCGGCAACTGTTTTCTAATGAAAACAACGCCAAAAAACATCAAATTTTTTGTACTTCTCGACGGCATAATCAGAATACTACCTGGTGGAAAGTTGATTCAGCATCTTTCGTAGCAATTGTCTGCCAGTCATGTTCAACGGTTTGTACGTAATTACAAAGCTTATCTGGACAAAAGATTAAAAAATATGAATTTATACTTCGTGAGATGTGCTCTTGAGATAAAAGGCAATGGAGTGTTGATGGCTGACAAGAAGTTTATCGCACTAGGATTTTGTGAGTTTGCCGCTTTTTGGTGTTATTTGAGTGCGTACTTCGAAAGAACAGATTCTGTAGTTATTAGTGTCATTTACGGAGCCAAAGGAAACCTTCTTCGCTATATTTTGATGTAAGCTTATAGAAAAATGATTTAGATTTTGGACTTCGTTCTATTTTGATACTGTGATTATAAAATTACAATGTGGTGCACGTCATCCTCAAAACATCCTGCATATATATTTTAACATGAGCGCTATTTTTCCAAATTATGCTGTATTTAGGGGTGTAGCCGTTGCGGTAAGTTCTAAACTCACAACTGCATCTCATCAGCTGACGTCAACGATGTTTTATCAGTCGAAATCTACTGATCTAAGATTCTTAAATGAGTGATATCTTTATTTTTTCCGGGAAAGAGTGATTTGGAAGAAGATCTGTTGTCTATCAAAAATGTTTAAGAAATTTTACCTGTTTCTTTCGTTTTTCTGCACTTTTCTTCAATTATGTTTCCTTCTAAGAACCTATTAAAGATGATTAGTAGTGCGCCCCTCGACTTATATTGAACTGTAATATGACGACATCTTACGGTATAATATTTTATGTTGACAGTTCAGAACGTCAACTGGTGAGATGCAGTTGAGAGTTTAGAACGCCAAATCAACGTGAACGGCTATAGTCCTAGCTGTATTTAAATACAATTAACTAAAATCAACTCCACTAACCACAACGTGCATCCACGCTGAGCAAAAAAGCGAAAGTGCTCTTTTCTAAAATTCTAACGGTGGATGATATACTTTATTATACGAACTATTTAATGGCATAAAAGTTTTTATTCCAAGCTCCAAGTTCTAAGAAATCTGGGAAAATACCCAGCCCAAAACTCGCCCGCAAATATACCGATAAAAAGTAAAAAAGATTTCTTTTGGAATCGAATGGAAACAAACATAAAAATGATACAGCTTCTGAATTTAGACACCTTCGGCTACTAAATCGCGAAGAAATTTTCTATTTGGGCTTAATGTCACGAAGAAAAAAAAGAATTTCTCAAACTAACGCATTTTCTCTACAAATGTCTTCGGTTTAATGAGTGTGCAAAAGTCCGCAAAGCTTTAAACTGACTCTGACTGCTAGCATATTCCCTTGTACATCTATGATATTACCGATCTATGAGTACCATGGACTGGTATGCGTAAAATAGTACCGTCTTCTCGATATGAATTTTTCAGATAAAATCTATTTTTTCTCATCGCAGGAAGGGCTCTAACAAAATTAATGGCATATTCGCAATCAACACGTAAAACTAAGTCTAGAAATCAATCACGAACTTTCTTCTCAATAAATTAGGAAAAGATCAAGAGATATACCAAGCGTCGATAAAAGAAAGAAAGAAGCTCTCTAAGCATAAAGTATGAAGAAATATGTCAGAAGGGAAACGTCTTTGATCCGCTTTCAACAAAGCTGTTCATATGTGTCTTCAAAATACTACCCACAGGATCTTTTTTCCCTATTATAACGCTATAAAACATGCTTTTTCTTAAATTATGGTGTTGCAACGCTATAAATTTATCTCATTACAACACGACAGACAGAGCCCGTCGTATTATAACGCGTTGCAAAGTTATTTTTCCGAAATTTATAGCGTTGTAACTGGATAGAAATTTCCATTGCATTAGAACTCTATAAATTTATAGCATTATAATGCGTTTCGATCTTTTATCTCATTACAACGCAATTAGACTTGCTTACCGTCTTGCAAGACAGTGGGCATCTAACGTATTACATGTAATAAGTCAGATTCTAATGTATTATAATGCTGAGTTTTCTACTTCAATATACTGCGTTATAATACATTAAATGTTTTAATTGTAACGCCATAAAAACTGGTTTGGGATATTTGTAGCATTATAGTGCATTATATAATGTCTACTGCATTGTAACTCATTGGATTTTCCTATACGATTTTTCTAATGATTTATAACGTTATAAACATCTCGTAGTGTATTATAATGCATTAGTTTCTGCTGATAGTTGCAATACCGTAGACATTAGTTTTTGAAATTGCCTCTAGTCGACTAAAAACTGTCCATTAACAGTTCGCATTTTTTGTCCTTTATTTCATCGCGAATCATAGCCTAACAACGGGCATTTAATCGTATATATTTAAAACTAAAATTCACATCAGTCAGTAATTACATGTTAGCATGCCATTTTCGGAATAGATAAAATGCCAGGAAACAACCTAGCTTTTTTTTACGATAGTCGTTAATCCAAGGGATCTTTTTTTCCCTATTATAACGCTATAAAACATGCTTTTTCTTAAACTATAGTGTTACAATGCTATAAACTTATCTCATTACAACACGACAAACATAGTCGGTTGTAGTATAACGCGTTGCAAAGTTATTTTTCCGAAATTTACAGCGTTGTAACTGGACAGAAATTTCCATTGCATTAGAACTCTAAAAAAAAAGAATTTTACTGCATTATCATACATTAAAGACTAATCGCCGGTGACCTTGCATTAATCAGAACGATGACTCATGGCTAACCCATTGTAATGCATGAAATGTGATGATTCACCCCGATGAGTCATCATTCACCGACTTTAAAAAACAGATTTTTGATCTTGGGCGATTTTTGACGCGTTGTCACACATTCATACATTGTCTACGAGCGGATAGAGGTAGCAGTACTAGTAGAACTCGACTTGCTCTAAGTTTTGATATTTTAAAAATTGTGAAAAACTTTTGCTTCAACCGTTACCCACGATTAGAAACCTACAACGGAAAAATAAGACTGGAAAAAGCGGAATTTATGCATACATTGCTGATAAATATCCCATGTATTTAAACTTCCTTTATTTTTTTTTAAACTTTTTAGATGGAATCCAGTTCAAGAGAAAGTACTGATGCTCAGTACTTAGTAGACAGTGGTGAGCCAATAGGCTTCCTTCATACAGTTCGCAATGAAGTATAAGGCATTGAACTATTTAATACATTGTAATCTGTCGAGATTACTGAAGGGATGATAATTTGCTAAAACTATCTAATGATTTACAATACATTAAATATTTCTATAAAGTATCAGACACTAAAAAGGCTAACGAATTGTCATGCATTAGAAGCAGTTAACGTTGTGTAAAACTTTTTTTTGAAATTTTGTTATAACCTATTACAACTATTTAACAAATTATAATGCGTTAGCTATACTAATGAATGATAATGTGTTAGACAGAGTAACGCATTATATCGCATTAAAGAACGTAGTATCCGCATTATTGCTCGTTAACGCTTAGTTTTGAGCAAGACCGTAGGAAATTTTTTTTCTAAAGTAACCCTATCCAAAAGTTATTGCGTAACACATAATCAACCATGGAGAAGACGAATCTGCAATCGATTTTGACCGAACAAGCTTCAAAATTTTTTGATCCGGTGCTATGATTATGGTGTGCTTTTCAGAGAGCAATTAAAAAAAATAGCTTCAATCGAAAAATTGTGCGTTTTTCTCTTTTTTTATACACATGCGAGTCTTATAACTTAATAATCGAAAGCGCGACACATTTTCTTGAAGACACACTTAGATTTAATATAAAATTTTTTTATCTATTCACAAGAATGTGCACACTTTCACATTATACTTGTCATTAACAATCATAGATAGAACTGAATCGATCGACTTATTCTAATATTGTCGATGACACTACTTATACTGTATATATACAGAATAGGAGAAATACTTTAGCTATATAGTAATTATTTAAAAAAATCCAACGCAAAGAACTGCAGAGAAGAAAGAAAAAAACCAAAAACAAGTTAGATCAATGCTCGGAATAGATGTAGAATACAGTTTTTTGACCTGGTGTTTTCTGACAAACAAATGAAGATGAGAATGAAGGTAGTACAACAGTGATAAATGATTTACGAAAAATGTAGTATAATACTGTCCCCACGAAGAACATTTTTAGATTTTTACAAAATCTACTTTTTGATTTTTGTTTATTTCGAGCTTTTGATGAGTGACTCTTACCTGGGACTGTAGAAGTTCCCGTTACTTCTTCGGTCGTTATCGACAACGATAGCTAGAAAAACAGTTGCCGTTAAAGTAACGATAATTGGCTTTTCAGTCAGCGTTAAACCCACGATAACTAAAAAGACAGTTGCCGTTACTCTAGCGATAACTGCGTTCCCAGTTACCGTTGAAAAATAACGGTAACTATCAGTTAGTTAACTTTGTGCTAACTACTTTTTAAGTATGGCAGAAATACCCACGCAGCGGCTTAAAATGGCTTTCAAAATCCCTAGTTTTCCAGCAAAACTGTTGAAACTTTCATAAATGACATAGTTTTGTATTCTAGTTTCGTTGATGAAAATGAAAACGATTTCTCAGGCTGGCTGTAGATGCTGAGGTCACCAGAGACCTTAAAAATCGTAGTCACAAAACATTGAAGTTAGCTATTTCGATTAGGTTAGTTGACTGGCACGTGTGCCAATCAAAGCCATGTCAT